TCAAAACCGCCGGCATTAAGGTCAACACCACCAACACCAAGGCCAAGGCAGAGATCACAGGCGGGTGGGTTAAAAACACACTGTAAGTACAGGATTATATTATGTGTACAAGAGAGAGAAGTGTTTCGGAGAAGTAAATCATGAAACTACGGACAGGGTAAAACTACGTCAGCAAGCAGACTTTGAAGGCCACTCTGGCAGAGGGAAGCACAACGTGAAGAAATCGTCGATGGAATAATCCAGAGATAGACCCCAAATTACCGTAAGGGAAATTAACACTCTGTAACTCGTGTGATTCGCTGGTTATTAATTTGATATTCACATTTTATAGCCAATAATCAGTGAATCACATGAAATAAAATCTGTTCATTGTGTATGCATATTAATTAGGCTGAGGGGTGCTTGCTTATCCAGTTATCCCTATACATTACTCCCTCATTTGTTTAAATAAGCAACATTGGACCCCGATTACGTATATTAAAAAAATAATTAAAATTAGTTGAAGTCAATAAATGTGTAGAAATTAAAATTTTTTTCTTCAAAATATCTTTATTTATAAAAGAGAGAATATAAGAAATAGAATAAGAAATTTGTTATAATAAAAAGAATTATGAAAGAGAAAGATGATGGTTTGAAAAACAAGATATTAAATATATTGAGTATTAAAACAAGTAATTAATGAGGGGAAATAAGAAATTTTTTATAAAAAATTAAGACAACTTGTAAATGTTACTTATATTTAGAGACAAAAAAGATATGGTAATTATTGTTTAAAAAGGATGGAGGGAGTAATTAATTATATATACCCTTAGTGGATTTCGAAATCTGGACTATTATTTTGGGATACCATTTCAAAGCAGCGATGAGTACGTAGCTACAATACTAAACATGTATATCTATATATGATGATATCTTATTATTGTAACACACGTATAAAAGGTGGCGGCATTGGCATGAGAAGTTTAAGTAATTAATGAGGCGAAATGAGAAATTTCTTACAAAAATTTAAGACAACAAATGTTGTTTACATTTAAGAACAAAAAGAATATAGTAGTTATTGCTTAAAAAGAACGGAGGGAGTAATTAATTATATATACTTTTAGTGGATTTTGAAATCTGGACTATCATTTTCGCATACCATTTCAAAGTGGTGATGAGTATGCAGCAACAATGCTAAACATGTATATATAACGACATCTTATTATCGTAACACATACATAAAAGGTGGTGGCATGAGCATGCAGACGCATGCATGCATGAAACCCACTTATTGACTATAATTAGAGATACAGGATAATATAATAGAAGTGGCACAACAATACTAGATATGGCGTAGTATTGAAGGGCATTTCATTTTATTCATAAATATGGTTCATATATATATAGAAGGCGGCAGGCATATATGAGACGAAGAACGATGCTCAGGCGACATGAAGTTGTGTGGCCACGGCACACTGACCCCCGCGTAAACTTGCAGCGATACTAGGCTCCACTCCGACAGTCAAGCTGAATCTTCCCTGAGCGTTCGTGGTTCCGTTTGCGATGATCGTGTCGCCACACATCACGCTCACGTTTGCGTTTGCGTTCGGCCTTACGGTGGCGTTCAGGCCTATCCCCGGGACAGACAAACCAGCATCGAGCCCGAAATTAATGCCAAGGACTTGGCCCAGTGACGCCGCAGGAAGCATCAGCACCAGAGAAAGCAGGAAAAGAGTAGTGAGGTTAAGGGAAGCCATGTCACGTTGGTTGTTGTGATATTATATTGGACGTATGTGTGTTTGTGTTTTGATGGTGGAAAGCCCTCTATTTATATAGCCTCTCTTTCGCTTGCTGGCTGCCCTATTTATAGCTTACCTAACATATCAGCTTCATTTTCAAATACATAGCACGGCGGGAGCATGCCCTAGGCTTATAGTCCCTAATTAACCTCTTTCATCTATCCTTTGTGCACGTAGTTACGCTCTTATTGAATTGTAATTAATTGACCATTCCCCATTTTTATGGAGTATTTTTTTAACCAAACATCTAGGGTAAAAAATTATCAAACACCCATGTCCGGTTTATGTATTCCTCCAATTCATAGTATGTGATTTTTTCCTGACTTTACTCCAAAATACAGATTTAATTTAATAATATTCATTCTGTTTACCGTTTCTCTATTTTATCCATCTACGCAAACAAATATGATCAATAGTTAATCTATCATAATTTATTTAGTTTACATTTTCAATAATGTCTAGTTACTATTTTAGTCTGCGTGTAATAATTAAACTGGACCTTTTTTTCCAGCAATAATTAAACTGGACCTGGAGTAATAGAGTAGGTTCACTTCAAGCCTCACGTTAAGCACTAAGTTAAGTTTGGCACGCATCTTGACCAGCCCAACAAGTTGCTGCTGCTGGGGTTTGGACTAATTGATAAGCATTCCAGCGTGCGAGCTTGAGTTCGAGGCAAAACCATCATTTTTGGGGTCCGTTTGAAGTAGTTTAGAAATAGTTTTTTATTTATGAAATAAATATATAAGAGAAATTTTATCTCAATTTACATAAAATGTACTTCAATCATAATTCCAAATAGTACCCTCGTCCCTCCTCTTTTTTTTTTTTTTTTTCCCGGTCTCCTGTGACTCATGCCTTCACTGAATGCTATCGAACCAACCCTAACTTGGATGATTAATCAATTCTTTTCCACATGGCGTATGCACTCCCTTCTTGTTTTCCAATTTGGGAGGAGCGTGTCCTCTTTGTTTCGTGATGTCTTGATGATTTTCTGTTGTTCCTTGTTTGGCTTCTATCCTGTTTTTCCTTTTTCTTTCTTGTTGGATCTGAGGTAATTTACGTCTTGTTGTGATTATTTGCATCATTGTTATGGTTGGGAATTCGAATTGATATTAAAGACCCTTATAACGTCGCATAACTGATCTTCTCATTTGTGGTGCTATTATTTGCACGTGCATCAGCGATTGACAAGCCGGGCTTGTATTAATGAGATAGTTTCCATAGCACGCACTGCACACCATACCAAAAACAGAAAAACAAAAACCGAACACAAGAAAAGTTTAACTACTGGATTTTTTGAGTCCCATTCTTATCAAGACAAGAGGATAGGACGTTGAGTCTCGCTTGCAGACTCTCTCCTCAGATGTGGAAATAGGTTTGTGTGGAGTTTCGGAGGCTAAGAAAGGATCCGGAGGTCGTTTGTGGTGGTCGCAAAAGAGAGTTAACCATGATGGCGGTGGAAAAGCATGAATTATTGATTAAATTGACATGTCAATAAAATTTGATAAATTTTTAAAAATAAAAAATATTTAGAAATGTAGAAAAATAAAATCAACTAAGATGTTAATTACTTATGCAGAATAGTATATGCGTAAAATTATATATATTAGACATTATGTTTTTTTAATTTAAATAGTTTATTATATCATCTTCTCAAAAGACTTCGTTGTAATTTTTCTCACTCAATCAACTAAATTAATGAACGACTTTGGCTATTTTACGGGGAGCTGTATTTTCGCGGTGAACAAAAATGTGATAAAAAAACTAAGAAAGCGGTAAACAGGAAAGAGAATATTAATTACTGCTTTTTAATATAAGGATTATTTTGTAATTTAATTTGTACTAAAAAAACAAGTCTTATATTTAAAACTGGATGAGTATAACATTTCAAAAAAGCTTTGATGCATATACGTATGTGTATTGTTGGTTAAGAGAAAAAAGAAAACATGGCAACAAAATTAGAAATAAAAAATTAAAAATAAGAACACATTATAATATGAGTATTAGTTTTGATAACAATTGATAAGAAAATGATAGTAACTTTGTCAACAGATCCCTCTATGCAATTTTCCAATTTTAATTTTTTTTAACAATTTTTTTAAAAAATGTATGTAATATTCATGTCTTGATGGCGAAAAAGAAATAATGCTCCGCTCACTCTAAAAAAAATTTCCTTTATAATGAATGCAATAAAAGCTTTTTCCCATACGTAGTTATAAGGCGAAATGGAATTCTCCTTTCCGCATTGTTATTACTTCATTTGTCAAACATCTCTACCGCAAAAATTCGTGACAAAAGCTTTTTTCACAATTTTAAAAATATTTTTCATCACGTGTGCCAAAAATATATGATGATAATGAAATAAATTTTTATTATTCGACATTACATCAGGGTACCACTAAAGTTTTCAATTTACTCGGATTAAAAGGTTTTAATAAAAAGGAAAAATAGATGAAAATAAATAAATTTTTTTAATTACATATTTATTCAACGAAATTTAAACTTCTTCCATATTTCTTGATATTCAAGAAATATTCTTCTTTTCAGGCGGCCAAAAAAAAAGAAGGAAAAATGACAAAAGAAAGAAGTCCAAAATTATTAAATATCAAATGAGGTCTGTTAATAATATTTTATTTGGTATTGATAATATTGTAAATAATATTCTTCTTATTCTAAATATAAGATCCATTTTGTAGTGTAATTTATCTTTATGAGACTCATTTTATAGTATAATTACATAATAAAATATATCTTATTTTTAGAATTAAAAGAGTAACCAATTTTGTCATTTAAAAAAAAACCCATTTAATTCAGTCGGTTGATTCCAACGGGCAAAAAATTGTGAAGGCATGGCTAATTGAAATCCTGGCCTCGGCATGGCGCGCCAATCACTTTTGCGCGCCGACAGTTTCGCACTACCAAATTCCTGCCCTCGCCTCCGCTCCCGCCCTTTCTTTGACGTGAGTCCTCTCTGTAATCTTTTTTTGGGCGATCGCATGCCCTATCCTTCCCCTCTTTCCCTCTCTTCCCCACTTCTCGCTTCTTTCCCGTGAGAGCACGGTGCTTCCAAAACCAGAGCCTTCTCCTTCGTCTTGGATTTGGTCTTTCGTCTACTTCCCCTGCAAGTCTCGAAAACAACTGTGTTGTACCCGTCCTATGCCCGTGCAGACAGCTTCGGCGCAGCCACCACAGTTGGTGATACCGTCGCCGCTGCAAATGGTGTCGGTCCAGAAGCACTTTACAGAACCCAATCGGGATTTTGTGAAGTGGGCAGCGGGAGTTCGGTCTCTCTTCCGGGTCAGGCGCTTCTTTTGGTGCACATTGTCTGGCTCATTGTTCGGTATGGTTTGGTCTCTTTTGATTACCCACTGACGCTTAAAACTAATGATCCCAGCCTCTTAGTTCAAATGTAACCTGTTGTAGGAAACAAAAATGAAATCGAATGAACGAATTCATTCACAGACCGATAATAGGGGAATGGGTATTTAAATTCTTTGTTTGATGTGTGCCTGCCGAATCTTGTGGAGCAGGGAAAGTGAAATTTTATCGACTGTTTATGGCGTTGTATTCGTATTTCGCAGTCATGCTATGCTGCACATGGTCGTTCTTTTTAGCGTGTGGCCTTTTGTGCTTTTCTCTGTTCATATGTTTAGATTATAATGTCAGGCTACAGTGCTAAATTCTGATGTTGAGAACTCTCAAGTCTCAATGCTTTCTAGATAGGTGTGCAAAAATTGTGCCATAATTATCTGATTACCTATCTTCGCCCGGTTGAATGATGTTGCAGTGGAAGTAGTGGAAGGTGATGTGAGGAATGTTCTCTGCGATGCTGTAGAAAGACATCATGCTTCACTGCTGGTCGTGGGTAGTCATGGTTATGGAACTATAAAGAGGTAAAGTTGAAATTCCTTTGGTTTTCCCACAACTTAGACTGCAATAGTACGTGCTTCAGCTCATCGTTGCTAGTTTTAGGTGCTTATCTTCACTTGTATGGTTAAATAACGTTTGCTTTCTCCATTTTCATCTGGCTTTCTTTAAATTCATCCTGGTCCATGGGCATACTTTTCGGGAGTCTTTATTTGGTTGTTGGGAGGTTGTACGTGCGTTACTTTGTACACAAAAGAGGGGCTTCTGGTATTAATCTTCTTTGCATTGATATTCCTTGTTAAATACTGACCAGAACTTCTCGTACTGTGTATATCAGTTGTTCTCACTGACATGGGGAATTCATGTATTAGTTGCTGCGGATTTCCTTAATTTCAGATTAAGCATGTCATGGGGAATTTCGGATTTTTTTCTACCAAAAAGAAAATGGTATACGGGATCATTCTGCAAAAAAAAACAAAAAAAGAACTCAATAGAAGCTAATAACAAAGATACATTAAAAAATTAAACTTTTGAGGAGAGATGACTACAGAGTCTTTCTTTTTTCTATTTTTGATGCTTATCCATATTTGCCCATTTATGATTTCTGGTCTCTTCTGATCTGTGGTATGCTTCTTGTTGCTGTTGTTGTTGGTTTTGTGTGTGTGTGTGTGTGTGTGGTGTCTTCTTGTTCATAAGCCAGCCTCTGTTGTATTTTGGCTGTGTGTAAGGATTTTAGCTGCTCCTACAAGGCTCCAGTTGGATGCTATTAACAGTAAAATTGAATGCTTTATATGTTCTTCATATGCTTCATGTTGTCACCCAAAAAAGGTTTATATGTCTAATAACCGTCAAATTCTTTTTCTAGTTTATATATATCTTAGTTAATACTTGAAGATACTTTTGAAGAGTATAAGATGGTATGATATAGCCACATTAGCTTGTTATGATAATCTACTCATGGAAAATTAGATGTTGTATGATGCTAGCTTTAACACTTATGGGGTGCAAGGAACAAACATCATTGAAGTGCCAATGGCTTCATTGCAAGTATTAGGTGTTACTTGGACCTTTAGTCTTTTTGTATTGGGGAGGGGTTAATGCATTTCATGGCATTGAGTGGATTAAGTTTTTGAAGAGGTGATAGCGAACTAGCGGCATCTTATTGTGAAATTCAAGGCAAATGGAAAGATGTGAGCGTGTTAGGTGATCCTATCTTTGTCTAAGAACCTACTGTTCGTTGAGGTAATGATTAGTCTATGACTGGTGGAGGTCAAGGGTTCTGCGTTTAATTTGGGATAATGACCATTCAAGTAGGTGATGAACTGATTAATTCTATTTGAACAAAGGAGACGTAATGACTGGCCAAGGAGTATCCTTCCAGTTTTTCACAGATTACCATGTAATCCTGAGGCAATTCTTAAATTGCAAACAGGGTTTCGAGATCTGTGAGTTCCTTTGCTGTCATTTCCCAAATTTCTCATAGGACTCTACCTCCCTTGTTTATAGAGTACTTCATTGGGCATACGGACACTATGGTTATTGACGGGGTTAGCACACCTTTCAAGCACATCGTCTTTTCCTTTGTTTGACTTTTCATGTCTTGTTGCCTCTCTTTCACTACACTGAAGGATTTGGACCACTCAATGTCAGGGCTTGAGTTTTCTCCCCCCTAACTTGGAAAGTTATAATGTTGGAGGCAGATAAAGTCCATGAACATTTGATGTGGGATTCCATCTTATTTTATATATATTTTTTAATAGTGTATGCCTTTTATGATTTCTCATTGAAGTACAATCATTTTATTGTAAGAATTGGGCGTTACTTTGAGGTTTTAAACATGAATTGTGACAATTATTAGTGTCAAGTACTATTGACCATTTCATATTTGAGTATTGTTTCCTAAAAGGTGTAGCTTTCTCGGTATGCTTCTTTTCTTCTACTTAGCTTGAACTTTAAACCTCATTAAGGAGTGTCACGTCTCTTCCACTTAATGCAACAATTGTTCATTGTTGAAAATAGGGTTTGTTATATGTGTGAAGATGCAAAACGTTATGTTCTAATATGCCTTATCTTTTTTATAGTGGTAGTTGCATTTATAAAGACGCTTTAATTGTTGTCAGCTATCATATATAATTTATGTTAGGAAAGGCACCTTTAACTTCCCTTTTTTCCCCTTATTCTCCCATGCTAATGTTTTGTGAAAATGCTTCAAAGGAATCCTATTTATAGGTTGATGCTGCTTCTAATAGAAGTCGGGTTGGGAGGGAAGGCCAATGTAAGCACTCTGATATGCATCTAATGTAGGGTATGAATGAGATTGGTATCTTTATGTTTTTTATTGCTCCCTCCATTTTGTTTTGATGTACTATATTTTTCTCTCGCAAAAAGTCAAAAACTAGTTGAAGAAATTGCCCCTTCCTCCAATTCCCTTCCTCAAATGGTGGAAACACTAAAGTCAAAATACAACATTTACATTTAGCTCATGATAAAATGATTACACTTAGAATTGATTTGTAAACCTAGCAGATTATGGGATCTTTGAGATTGAAGTCCTGATTTGTATGATTTCCTCCATTTTGCTTTAACATGTATTTCACTTATACACAAATATTTTAAAAAAATCTTCCTGCATTTTTTAAATCTAAAATTTAGTCTGGGAACTCTGTCTTTACTGTTAATTTTAAGTGGCTAAAATGTGATTATAGAAATTAGGATCCTATTCCTATGCTATCTTATAACCAATTTGTTGCCTTGGAAAATGAATAAATGAAGATGGGAAAAATATAAGAACACAATGATGTGTGACTTGGTAGTGCCCTTCTCCTGGCCTAGACATATTGTTTATATTTCTTGCATGGATGCATGTTATTTCATATTTAGTCCAGGTTGCTTTTTTGAATATGATAATGTTTGCAGGGTTGATATCCCATTGGACGCTAATATTAAAGTTGTCTAGACACGTGGGATAATTGGAATTTCATGCATCCCTAGGGAAGAAATCACATCCACTAAAACAAGATGGATTTCAACTAATTATCCAACATGACTAGGGGGGCTTGATGTCAAATAGTAAGCTCCATCTACTACTAAGCCGTGGGGATTTCTTAATCTCATTTTCTTGTTCAACATTATAGGATTGATGCATATGATCTTTCTTTCATCTTCAAACCCAAAAATGCAATAGCACTGTACAACGGGTTTTTCATCATTTAATTTAACTTCACATTAGAGGTGCATGCACATTTGTACAAAGAAAGCGCAGAACCTTTTACTTGTATGGCTCCTCATAGCATGCAAATCTCAACTTTGGATTTCTTTCTTTGATACAATCAACTTTGGATTTTAGAAGTCCTTTTTGGATTGGCATTATGGGATTTTGGCTTAAGATTTCATATGTAGGCTTGTTTGCAAAAGGAAACAAGGTTGTCACCAAGGAACAATAGCAAAATTAACTACAATCTTAGTGTGGAACTGATATTTAAAAGCTTTCGTCTCCTATTACTTGCCAAAGTCATTTAGAGAAGCGTCTATAGCTGATAAACTGAAAAGAATGACAATTTGTCTTCAGGTATTACTGAAATATTTTCCTCGCATGTTTGAATGAGGTGAAATAATGTGTAGTTATAACTTCATGATTATATCACGGTATAGTTTTGTCTCAATTCTAGGGGTGTAATCCCATTTCCTCCATCCCCCGCTTCTAAACCAGAAGGGATGAAAAGAGATTTGAAAAAAAGAAGAAGATAGAGCTGGTTATGAGATCAAAACTCATCATCCTGATAGTTGCTTATGAGTGGCCTTACAGTTGCAGGAAACTTTCTTGGAACCAACTGATGTGTAATTGTAAATAAATTCAAATACTTCAAAGATTGTAAACGGTTACTAACCGTTAGGAGCGTTAGTTAGTAGGCATTAGTTTCAGTCAGGGTACCCATAGTACAGATTTGATTTCATAGTTCTTCTCAGATCATTTCTTCTATCTCTCTTTTTCTATTTCTATTCTATCACCAACCCTGAGTTTGGTACGCATTTTAACCAGCCCAACAAGTTGTTGATATTGGGTTTTGGGCTAATTGATAAGCATTCCAAGGCATGAGCTTGAGTTCGAGGCAAGGCCAGCATTTTTGTTCCCTCTTCTTCTTTCATCTCCTAACTCACACCTTCACTGAATGCTGAGTTCCGTGTGAGTGATTGTAGAACAAGTCCTGTGGGCCTGAGGACTCTCACTCTCAATAACGATCGAACCAACCCTTACTTGGATGATTAATGGATTCTATTCCACATGGCTTCTGGTATGCACTCCCTTCTTGTTTTCCGATTTTGGAGGAGCGTGTGCTCTTTATTTTGTGCCGTCTTGATGATTTTTTGTGGTTTCTTGTTCAGCTTTTATCCTGTTTTTCTTTTTCCTTTCTGGTTGGATTTGACGTAATTTATGTCTTCTTGTGATCATTTGCATTATTGTTACGGTGGGAATTCGAATTGATGTTGAAGATCTTTATAACGTCACACAATTGATCTTCTCATCTGTGGTGCTATTATTTGCCTGTGCATCAGCGATTGACAATGCTGGGCTTGTTTCTAGGAATCTTCTGTTCCGAAAGTTTTCTTTCGTGAAATTTTCTTGGAGAAACTTTCAGGTCCTTCAGCAAGACGTTCCACATTTCCAATACATTAACGTCATTGCTGGTGCATAATGAAACGGAGGACCTGATAGATTAAGCATCTACATGTGTACCTTTAGAATTTTTATGACGGACTACTGCTTTGTCTTTTTTCAAGTACTCTGTTCTGAAAAATATTGTCATATTCGTTGTTTTTTTAGCATCTTCAATTGGCATAGAGAAATCGCATACTCCTTTGTTTTATTATGTATATGCTGATGTGGAGGACCTTGGATTTGAGTACTCAGACGAAGAACAATAGGGGCAGGATGTTCATATTGAGAATCATTTAGATGATATGCAGGTTTGGTTGAAACTGATCCAGAAGGTGCACTTGCTGGGTCTTCTGAGGTAGTGCGCATGGAAGAAGAGAAGGCTGACCGGTAAGAATCGAAGAGATTAACGACTAACATTAACATGATTTTTTATACATGTTTATGGGCACTCAAACAGAATGGCACGTCCTCCTTCAAAAGGGAACTACTGATGTATGAGAACCAATCCACCACTTGAATATCTTATCGAGCACACTATAATAAATTTGAGATTTAGGCATCCTATTACCTCAGCGTCCATCAATTAGCACCCCCCCCCGCCAAACAAAAAAAAAAAATCTCTCCGTCAACTGAAATGAAACATTGTAGCAGTCTTTGTTTGTTTTAACATCTTATACCCATTATTCTTATTTTACGTGTCAGGTGCCTAGTTTTTGCCGACATGCTGATGGAGTATGAGGTCAATCCCTTTGATGAACAAGAAGCAAAACCGTAAGTCGTTTGCACCCTAATTTAGGGTATTCGTCTTTTTCATTTTTCTTCTGATTTTGCCTTTCTTGAGTTGTGTGTGCTCAGATACAAAAATGGCCCGGAAATTTTGGGAGGGACAAATTAAAGAGCAGCCTATCAGTGGAATGAGATATTGGAATTTGAGAAAATTCTAAAGGTAAAGCACCTGAGGGTGGCACAAGATTCTCATGCGCCAATTTGTCCTCATATTATTATGTAAATGTTTATTTTCCGAACATAACTTTCCAGAGTAACAGAAGAGCCGCTATGATCCATTTGTTAGAATTACGTTGGAGATCTGCTAAAGAATTTTAGAAATCACGTCTCAGTGAAGCTCAGCAAACTTTGTGCGAGGATAATGATTGCGTCTGTCTGGACGGTGTAAGTAATGCCCTCCTGTCAGTTGAAGAGGTTGAATAAATAAGGGGGCATTATGGAACTATTTGCCCATTGCGGAGAAAACAAGCTGAACATTATCTTCTGGACTCTGGCTGCTTTTTCGCCGTACCTGGTTGCATGGGATAGGTCACTAAATACTTTGGTAGTGTTCTTCACATGGTCAACTTAAAAAGTCAATGCATTCCCCCCTTCCCTAACTTGTAGATTTACATGTCGAGTTGGGCGCTTGAGTTATGTTTAGTCCAATTTGTATATTTTATTAAACCCATTCATTCACAGGAGCTCAAGGATCTCGGAGCATGATGTTGAGCAACTATTGGTCTCTCTAATTTTGGACGTCAGAGTTCAAGGATATATTGATCAAGTGAACCGGCTATTAGAAATTTAGAACGCTCGGATAGATAAGCCTTCTTCCAATAATTTATATTGTAATGACATTATCCTTTATACATTTTTTAAATAAATCCTGACATTTTTATTTACATTAAAAGCATGTGATGCAGGACTTCAGGTCGAAAGGCATGGAAAAAAAAGTCGCTGTTAACAAATTGAGCACGCAACTTAAATGCCTCTATCTTTTTTTTTTTTGACGGAAAAATGCCTCTATCAAACTATTAGCCAGGGTTAATTAAATGGGCGTCTCGTTCCCTAGGTAATTCTATCTTGCGAAACTCAACTTGTAACTCGTATTTAATATCATCAGTGAAGGTAATTTTCTTGAAACATTCATTAATTTGAATTCACCTAGTTATGTGAAGCTGAGAATATCTACCAGAGGTATAAAGCATTCCCCTCCACTCTATTAATACGATCAATGTTTAATGATCATTTGTGCTAAAGCTGGGAAGCCCTGGTCCTGGTAATTCAGATGTTCAGACTTGGGTTACCTCTACAACTTCATCTTATTAATCCATTCCCTTGCTTCAAAACTGACTGGCACTAATTGCTTCTTCAAGCTTGCTGTCCTTCACTTCCAATATCTTTTCTCCATTGATTTTTTCGTGATTTCCATCTGACACACCACAGGTGGAATGGAACACTTCTTTGATCCAATTTCGCAACTGAGTGGTGGCCACTTCATCTGCATGCAATACAATGCAAGGTAAATTTGTTGACTAGTTTAGATAACAGATTTTTTCTGCGTATGGAGAAAAGGAGGGGAGAGAGAAGACCTAATCTCGGCACGGTGTGACCTTGAGGGTGCCTTATTATAAGGGAATTGTCAAAAGCCGTGGCTAGTTCTTCTGAAGGCAGTTTCAACCAGTCTTTTTCCCCAATGAAGTGGACAGATTTAACCTTGATGGTGTCCTTGTAGGCAACATCACAAATGCTCGGATCTCTGAACTTTGATCCTGATATTGATACGAATAATTTCATGGGCGGATGCTCCTTTAGCAACTTCCCCTGTAAACCCCATGTTTCTCCTTCAGTATGGTATAATTCAGTATTCATTATAAGATAAAATTACAATAAGTAACTACTTGCCTGTGCTTGGTAACCCATCAGAAGTGCCGAAAGTGTTGCACCCTGGGTTACAGATAAACACACAAGGAGAAATCATGTCTTTCCGTTAGCTAAGGTAAAATCAGTAAATATGGGTGTGTGGGTAAGGGGCGTGTGGGGCCCCTCCCCCTCCAAATGAGAAAGAAAGAAGCAAATGTGGAGTTGAAACTCGAGATGGCTTGTGAAAACGTTGTGTTAATTCGTCAGAAACTCAATGATATTTGGACCAGTATAACATGATATTCTGTTTTCTATGTATCATTAACCTTGAGACTATTCGCTCTTCTGTCTTTGTACCAAAGGTTTTAGCATCTATACGGCCGGTCAGCGCTAGCAAAATAAATTCAACTTTAATCTGAACAAGCTTTGAATTAAGGAGCAAGCATGGATGCGTACCTGGGAGAAGCCAAGAAGCCCATCAAAGGGGCCATTGGTTGTGATGTATTCGCAAAGGTATGAGATGCACTCCTCCAAGTTAGTGTACTCCGTAAAGTCCTAAATAATGTGTGTTGAGCAGCTTATTTCTTTCTTTTTATGAGAATAAATCTATTCATAGGAGTATGAGCTGGAAACTTCATACCTTGTTGAATTGAAACCACTCAAAGTAAGGTGGAGGGAATATGCCTTCAATGTCAGACTTTCCTCCAGCGGGAAATTTACCGTCCGGAAAAACCTGTCATGATCAACAGTTTGATTGATATTCTTCTAAATCTCTGCCTTACTTGTGGCTGTTTCTTTGTATGAGAAAGAGGATTTGAAATCTGACTGAAAAAGGAAGACATATTACCAGCTCAAATTGATCAAAAAGAGAAGGGTCCCACTTGCTGATTTGCTTCTTCAAGAAACTGCCACTAGTCCTGAATCCATGGAGGCATAGTATTTTCATCTTCCTTGCATTCTGACCTTCCATCTTTGCCTCTCTTTTGTTTCAGATTTCTTCCCGGTTGGCCGGAGTACAGCTCCCTTGGGCAGACTTTATTTATCCCTTCTTGCTGGCACCTACCTCCATATATTTATTGAGAATTTAACTACCTACCTCCGTCGAAGTTATTTGACTTAGCGGGATGGTGTTGCACGTGCTAACTTCTACCACTACTGCGCTGCTCCAGCAGCCACTTGTATTGCTTTCTCCTCTAATCCCTTCCATTCATTAATTGATCTCACTCCAAAATAAATGTAATTATAAAAAAATGTCACAAATAAGTGAATAGCATAGACCTGATTGAATTTAAAGTAAGAAATGACCACTTTTAACTTGTTATTGGGATTTGTTGGTAGTTATTTTTCCAAGATAAGGTGGATTAAAATTTTATATTTGGACTAAAAATAAAAGTGGACCAACAACTAATATATATATATATATATATATATATATATATAAAAGATAGGAGGGAGTCGGAAAAAAAGGAGGAGGAAAAGATAGGATGGAGTAACAGGTTACGTTTTCCAGAACAAACTGAATTGGATCAATTTGGGCTTGGGCCACCTTGGAAAACTATAGCGCTAAATTGTGAGATGTGCTGCACCCAAAAAAATGGAAACATCTATAATTAGCGATTAATAAAATTTATATGCATACATATTGACATTGATCGCATTACGATTACAGAATAGAGTATAATAATATAAATATTTGTTAAATTATGAGATAACGCGATATTTAGTACTACCTCCGGTTCTAATTATAAGACCCAGTTGACTAATTTGAGGAGATTAAAGAAAAAAGTTAAGTTAGTTATTTGTAATAAATAGGTGTTGTCTTTCCTAAAATATCTTTACTAATCAACTATATTGGCTAGGACTACAATTATTAGAGGGACTATCTTGGGAAAAAATGCATAAATATGAGAGACAAAGTGGATTGGGGTCTTATAATTAGGACCAAAATAAAAGTCAAACAAGGTCTTATATTAAGGACCGGAGGTAGTATGATATTACCTCTGGTTCTTAATATAAGTTTGTTTGATTTTTATTTTGATCCTAAATATAAGACGTCAATTCATTTTGTCTCCTATATTTATTCATTTTTTTTAAGATATCTTTATAATAATAGTAGTTCTAACCAATATATTTGATTAGTAAGAATATTTTAAGAAAGACAATACCCATTTATTATAAATAACTAACTTAATTAATTTTTTTAATTTGTTCAAATTAGTTAACTGACTCTTATATTAAGAAAGAGAGGTAGTAGAATGTGTTCAGCCAAAAAAAAAAAGTATGATAGTAAGATAAGGTATCTTACATGACAATATTATTATACGTTACTATTTACAAATTATAAATGATGCAGATCATTTAAAATATGGTCTGAACATATTCCTTCTAAAAGAGCATGGCTAAATAATAAATTACATTTTATGGTAACGATAAAAGTTGTTGCCTCGCAGCCGCCTGCCAGCGCCAATGAACCCTTCAAGAAGCGGACCTCCCAACGGTCGCGCCAGCGCAACACCCACATGTAGCCTTGGCTGCAGCTTTAATTTTATAAATAAATTCAAGCAAAAAAAAAAAATGACAATCATAATTCATTATAACCTTTAAAAATGGAATAAGCAATATGAATTTTGTTATTTTCTTTTTCTACTTCAAAAACTTATTATAAGATTCTTTTTATATTTATATTTTAATTTTAAATTTAGCAACAATAAAATAAAAGAAAATCACAAATATAGACCATAAAATTTAAAAAATTACAAAGAAGAACCTGTTCATAAAAATTATTGTCAAAACTTATACTATTATTATTAAAACCCAATAATAATGTTATAATGGATTCATATTTATAATTTTTCATGTTTTACGGTTTTTATTTGTTATTTTTTCATAAAATAATAGTACTATACTGTATAAAACATAGAGGGTGGGTCCTGGGTAGAGTTCGTCGCACGTCCTGACGCTCACCTCATCTCACCAGGCACCTAACGTATCCTTTTCGTATTTATTTGGTTGATTATTTCCATTTCAAATCTCAAATTCCGAGCCAAGGGACGCTCCCCTGCTTCTTAATTTATTATCCTCGCAACTTTTCCTCCTTGGACTAAACTACCCCTTCCCAATAAGAATTTACAACTCTGCCACCATTTTGCAATTACGGAATTCTGATTCTCTCCCATCGTCGTTTATGGGGCATTGAATGTCTCTTTGTATTTGTATCAAGGAGAAATGGGCCTTTCAAGTCTGGCTCAGAAACCACCTCGTTCCAGTGGTTTTTCATTCAAAATTTAAGAAATAATTGCTTTTTGGTAAATTACAAGCATCCTTCCTTGTTTTGCCCTGAAAGAAAGACGGTGGATGGATATTGGATTACGAGCAAAAGGAGAGACAACTTTAATTTCAAATCATTACGACGTTTAAAGTGTGCCTTTGTTTCTCCTTCGCGCCGGGCAGAATCCAACGTGTGCTTCACGGCCACCTAGAGCGCGTGGAGAAGCTGTCTTCTTGCGAGACATAGAGAATCCAACGTCTATAAATCCACAGCATCGGGCTAGCCCCACGTCATTTCAAATCAAAACTCCATTTATAGATTAAAAATTAATGAAGATATTGATATTAATAATTAATTAATATGTTATTTTAAATTGTTATTAGCGCTTCCGTTTCATCTAGTTAGATTAAATATATTTTCTCCCCTCAGGTCACCGCATCAATCATTCGAGGCCATTGTTTTCACACACTCTTCTTCTGTGTTTCACAATCTTTCCCTCACCTTCCCACCCCCTTCCCTCTCTCTGTGGCTTTAATTTCGCACCCGAAAGCCTCTGATAAGGTGAATTTCCATCTAGGTTTTCCAGTGATGTATTCTCGTCGTCTTGTGTGGAACTGTTCGAGCAAATTGTTCTCTTTCTGAGTTCATGTGGAGGTTTTGATGCTTCCTTAAGAGTTTTTTTTTCCCCTCCCAAACATCGTGCTCTGTGTGCTTATGCTTTTCCTATACGCTGAGGCAATTTTTTTTTTTTTTTAATTTATAAGCTCATGCGCCCGATTTCTTTCTTGCTCAGTTAGGAATGTCGAGATTCTTGGGTATAGGGTGGCGCATTAGGGTTTTACCATGCGATTGGTGATCTGCAAGTATCTTTTTCAAATTCTTATTTGATCTTCTTTCTTCTTTTATCGGGAAAGTTGATTATTTAGATGGCATGATATGCGGTGGATGATATCAGGTTCTGGAAATCTTTGTGCTTGTGCCTGCACAAAAAATGCTTTTATAGCTCTTGCAGACTTTTCGAGTCATCTGGGTTTTACGAATTACATTTGAGTTAAGCAGTAAATTGGTAATATTTGTGTGTGGGTGTGAAGATGGGGGCGGTGGTTACGTTTATCTTCTATAATCTATTTGAAGCAGATTTGATGTTCAAGCTACTAGTTATTTATTCTGTGATGTGTGCATGTATTTGCGTTTGTGTTGATGATTAAGCTGTCCTCTTAGTGGGATTTTGTATGGAGAAGCAGATAATTGAATTGAATGAGCTTCTTCTGACTGCAACGATTTAGTCAAGTCATTGACAGTTTCGTCTTGTTTGATGTATATGGAGATATCGCTTGGTGCTCTTGGGCAAAATAAAATGAAGTGATTTTTTTTTTTGGCACTATTGTTTAGGGGCATTGTGACGCTAAATTGGGGCGTCAATATATTCTTTCTGCTCTTTGATTTCATGTTATATATACAATGCTTGTTGTCTTTGTTATATTCTTTTCAATTATGTTAAATATTTGACAATTCTTACCGTTTGGTAGTTCATTTGCGGCAGCTTTTTGCTGAAGCCAAGCCGTATATTTTCTCATATTAATCAGCAATATTTTTGCAGGCCCTTTCGCCGTTCTAATTTTGCCCGCACTTTGAGCAGAAATTTTGAAGATTCAGTGCATTGTTTGATAAAGGGCTTGTCCCTCCTTAATTGGCAGCTGAATAAAACATCCGGTGCAATTTCATTTTTGCGGAGATGGTAAGTATTTCTCTTATTATTGCTGGCTATTGTCTCTAGACTTGCAATTATTGACCTTGCAGGCATGGTTTTTGCCAAGTAAATTTATTCTGGAGTAGTTTAGCCTCCTGTTATGGAATCAGGATATCTCTTGGCCTTCAACAACTAATCATCTGTTCATATACTTGTGCTTGTTGACAATGGTTTATAATAACAAGTACTAATAGGCTGATAGCTTATCATAATCTCATTTGTACAATTGGAATGGAAATGATGTTGAAGTATTCTTAAAGTAAGGCTAACTAAACTTAACACAGTATTTGATGACCCTTGGAGCTATGATGCCATTGTGTTGCTTGCTAGTTCGTAGACAATAATTGGAATGTTTGTTTCAATATTCCTTATCCTTAAATTTTATTGTGGCATTTTTGTTTCAGGCAACCAATGAAAATCTTCCACCAAATGTAATAAAGCAACTAGCCAAGGAATTGAAAAATCTTGATGATTCCCCTCCCGAGGGCATTAAAGTTGTTGTAAATGATGATGATTTTTCAATAATATATGCTGACATTGATGGCCCAGGCATGGAATTTTGTTTTGTAAGTTTATTTTTCAGCATTAAGTGAAGAAATCAAGCTGAACTTGAGTTAATTATACTTGCAGCTGGGACTCCTTATGAAAATGGAGTTTTTCGTATGAAGTTGTTACTATCTCGTGACTTTCCACACTCTCCACCTAAAGGTGAGTTTAGACGGTTATATGAGCCTTTTTATGATTTGCTCTTGACATTGTTGATGAAGTTCTTTTGTTTTGAAAATCTAAGTGGGCCTCTGTACATTGTACGCAGTCAGAAGAATGAGGTGCATTGTTCACCGCTTATAAATAGTGACTTGATATAAATTTATATTTTATTTTTTTATTTTCTCTTTTACTTATTGAACTTTATTTTTTCATAGTGTCTGTTTCTTATATAAGGCAAGGAGATATTTCTGCTCAGTAGTCACTGCTTCACTTTTCCTGCCTAAAATAATTCCATCCATTCTTTGTCGTTTTTAAATACTGTTAACTGATGCAGCTATTTAAAAATATTGTAGGTTATTTCTTGACTAAAATTTTCCATCCTAACATTGCAACCAACGGAGAGATTTGTGTCAACACGTTGAAGAAGGATTGGAATCCTACCCTCGGTTTGCGACATGTTCTTATTGTAAGTCTATTGTGTTGGTTGTTCTTGTCATGAAAATTTCACGGTTTAAGTTTGCATGTCTAGTTGAGCACTGCCATTTCTAGATCTTATCGATTTATTAAATATGGTTGTACATGATTGTTTCTCATTTTAATGCTGATTTTTCTTTTAAACAGGTTGTCAGGTGTCTTTTGATTGAACCATTTCCAGAGTCAGCTCTAAATGAGCAAGCTGGCAAAATGCTGCTTGAAAATTACGAGGAGTATGCGAGACATGCCAGGTCAGTAGACATATTAAATACAATATATCTTTTTTTAAAGCTATACTTCTTGAGCTATCGTTGGTCTTGATTTGCAGCTTCTTCATTTTGAAATCTGAACAATGATTTTGGATGACATATTGCTCATAATCATGAAAAGGACACTATCAATTTTAGCTGTTAACATTACTTTTTATGACATAAACATGGTTGTTTTTCTTCATATGCTAGCAATCGAATAAACTTAATGGGGTTGCATTGCATATAGGCTTTACACTGGAATCCATGCAAAACCCAAGCCCAAATTCAAAACTGGAGCTATATCTGAGTCAACGACTGCACTGAATGTTGATCAAATCAACACCTCAGTAATTAATAGTGAAGTGAAAAATGCGGCATCGGGTGCTGCAATGCCATTGCAGCCACCATTGGGTCAGTCAGCCGCCACAGTGAGAGGAGGAAACAATCTAGAACAGGCAGCTACTGTAACAACGGATGCTCTTGTTAACGGGTCTACTGCTGCAACGGTAGTTCCTGCTGCACCAATATTACAAAGGAAGGAAACTGGAGCAGCAAAAGTTCAGGCAGACAAGAAGAAGATAGATGCCAGAAAGAAAAGTTTGAAAAGATTGTGATGATGTCGTTCAATATTTGAACTTTTTATTTGTTGCCTAGTTGATAGAAAGAAAGGGGAGGGGGGGAACGTGAATGTGGCTGCCCAGGGAAGACGGGTGTAACAGTTGCGTGTACTTTGACGAGTACTTCCCATGAGATAATGGATGAAATTGTACTGTTCTGTTCCTGGTCTATTGCGTCGTGGTAAACCATCCCTCCCCCCCCCCCCCCAAAAAAAAAAAAAAAAACCAAGTGAATATTTGCTTTGCTTCTGTGTTGTGTTGGTTCGGAGAAGTTACAATTAGCTAACGAAGGGGCTGGGCCGATGGGTTGTATACCCAAACTAAAAAAGAAAAAGAAAAAGGAGGGATTGGGTAATCTGTTCAACCACTTTCTCTCTCAGGCCATCTTTTAGCTAAATTTATAGATCCGTGTAGAGATTAGACTATTTGTGTGGTATGGCCAATCCATTCGCTCAATTTGTTAACCCTTGTGCCAAGTAATCAATGTACAGTAAGATAGTTTTTTTTTAAAAAATCCTTTTACCTTATTATTTACTAGATTATTAATTATTAATTATTTTTTTATAATTGATCTGTTTTAGAGTTTTACGCTTTTTCCCAGGAAAAAAAAAATTCTTTATACGCGATTGGGAATAATTTTAATTTTAATTGGAGAAAAGAGGCAGGTTTCCGGGCATCTAGCAGGCTGTTGCAATCTCATGCATACACAGCGTATTCATCGACTTCCTTACGTTGCAATTATCCGGCATGGCAAACCGAAAATAAGAGTGAAATAACCATCAACTTGTGACACAATCACAAGACAAACTGGAGATACCATTCCACCAAAACAATTAGCTTAGCACTACATGTCACAGAGGATTGATTCAGAACCATCAAACAAAGATTTAACAATAAAAAAGTACAAAGTCTAAGAGTATCATTATATAAGTCAACCCTGTCCCCCTTCTTCTATCTCTTCTTCGCAGTTATAGTTTTTCATCAGGATCTTGGCGGAGATTTAGGGTTCACTTTGCCATCATCACCTTAACAAATTCCTCGTAATTTATTTGGCCATCACCATCAACATCAGCCTCTCGAATCATCTCATCAACTTCTTCATCAGTAAGCTTCTCCCCAAGATTGGTCATCACATGGCGGAGCTCAGCAGCAGAAATGAATCCATTCTGATCTTTGTCAAAAACCCGAAACGCCTCTTTTAGCTCCTCCTCAGAATCTGTATCCTTCATTTTCCTCGCCATAAGGTTTAGAAACTCCGGGAAGTCAATAGTACCATTTCCGTCGGCATCTACTTCATTAATCATGTCTTGGAGTTCTGCTTCAGTTGGGTTCTGCCCCAGTGATCTCATAACAGTTCCAAGCTCCTTGGTTGTGATGCAACCTGAAAGGTGAGATCACACACAATCAAAATCCGCTTCAAAAATTCAATGAGGCTAAGACAGAGAGGCATGTTCGCAACTATACAATACAAAAGCTATCAATCAATTTGACATTAGTGTCATATTGTCAAATACCACAATACAAAATCGCTCAAACGTCTCTGCGTAAATTTACACACACACACACACTCTCTGGCACACCCTGGCACACATAACAGTATATAAGAGGAAAAGAATTTTTAGCGAAGGAATGGGTTCTCAGTAGAGTGCAAGCTTAGACTTTCTGGCAAATAATGCTATGCAGATGTGTAACTGCAGCATTCCCACTTTGGCAAGGGAAGGCCTTTCTGTCAAATGGTTTTGCATTTTATAAAAACAGCATACATGGGCTCTAGGTTCTCTTCTCGAATTGCAGATTGCAATTTACACTTCATCTCGATTTATTTTCAACAGATGTGAAGACAATGACATTTAAAAAAAGGGGGGGGTGTGGGGGTGGGGAACACATACCATAAGGAAGCTATCATTATATTCTATCATCGGATCACATGGCTACTTATCTTCTTTACTAAGGAAAAGGAAAAGTCAATAGTAGGATTTATACAAAAGCAAGTAATTAATTCTGTCAGTTACCCTTGCTTTCAGGGTTCATGATCTGAATGTGAGACACAAACAATGGAAAAAAGTGCAATCTAACTTTTTCCCCTCATTGACCCCTATTCTTCTTCCCACTGTTTGACCTCCTGTTTAGAATCAAAACAGAACCCAACATGCAGATGCGTAAACTTTTAACACAGCAATTCATTCATTTCTAAAGGCAAGACGAGCATTTTAAAATTGAGCAAGACTATTCCTGTAAAATCGAAGATCATCTATAACAACTCTGCGCATAAAAAAAGAAAAAAAAATTCTCTCATTTGTTTCTACTCTGAATATGCTCGTCAAATGGGGATGGAAAAGAAAACGGTAATACAGGCAGAATTATCGACTAATTAGTCCGTGAAATTTAGAACAACAATCGAAACCATGCAAGATCTAAATCTCGACGTCGCCACCAAACAATTCTCCAGAAGCCCGGTAAAACTTCTTCAAATTCATTAATCCATTTAATTTCCCAAACCACAAACCAGCATCCGCTGGCTAAACACCTCCAGAAGACAGGTAGGTCTAGAAATAACTCAAAACATAAAATTATTCATAGGTCAATTGAAATAACGAAAGAGCGATAGAGAGCGAGAAAAAGAGAGACGAACCGTCTCCATCTTTGTCGAACAAGCTGAAGGCCTCCTTGAACTCAGAGATCTGTTCGTCAGTAAGCTGATCCGCCATTGCTGTTCCTTTTTTCTTCCCTTCCTTCTCGTAATTCTTCTTCCTTTCAAAATGATTATTCTGTTTCGGAGAAGCCGATCAGAGATTGTCAGGAAACACGAGAGGGTTTTGAATCTTCAGGTAAAAGCTGCCATTTTTATAGGAAAATCAAAGGATGTGCCATTCAATAACTCCTGGGCCGGTTAGCCCCCTTGTTATTATCGATTTGCCCTTAATGTCATCCTATTTTTACCGCACGCCCTTTACTCGTTTATTTGCTATTTTTCTCATTTTTCAACTTATATTGTTTTAATCTTAATTTTAATTAGCGATTTCATTAACTGATTACTTTAGGTGCTTAAATGACCATGAAGCCCTCAGGTGTCATGCATCCAACTTGGATAATCTTGTCCAATCAACCATGAGATGAAACAAAATATCTCCTAAATGTTTCATAATTTATCTATATGTTTACCAAAAAATTTTTTTTTATCTTTATCCTTTCTTTCTGCGCTGAGTAATTTATATATATATATATATATATATATATGAGTAAGAGTCCTAGGATAAACAAATAATATTTTGTATTAGTCGTATCCTCGGAGTTTATTGTAATTCTCGCTTGAATAGATAACATAAAATTAAAATACCAAAGTCTTCATTTAGTTCTATATAATTATTTTATTTTCTTTTTTAAATACAGGAGTAATAGGATGTCTTTTAAATTAATTTTTTACAAATCAACAAATAGAAAGAATATTGTTTAATGCTTTCAAATTTTTTTAGCTTTAAAGAATTACATTAAAATTGATTTACAAATAAAATAAAAGAAGTATATAACTTTTTTTTTTTGCCCAAAGACAGAGGGGCATATGATTTAGCAAGGAGTTTAGATAATTTAAAACTTTAATAACTATTTGTTGATGCGAGAGGGGTATTTTAGGTATGCGCAGTGGTGTTTCCCCAAGGCACGACGGATATGGTGAAGAGATCAGATGGAGGCTGCATAGGAATGGAGGATAAGGATCCTGTCCGAAATCCGAATGGTGTCACTGGGCAGTTGCGTCAATAGCTGATAGATGGTGATACCCACCCAAACATGAGATGACAGCTGGGAAGTGGACGCAGGGGATAAGGACCCTAAGGACAAGCACGCATTAAAAATCGAGAGGATTTGGGATTACTAAAAATAGAGACAAGCCGGTGAAGAGTAATTCAAGGATTTGGATGATCGTCTTTCTTGATTGGTTGGTGGCTTTTGTTCGTTTTAATTAATCAGGGGGTCTTCGTCGACGCCTAGTGCGACCCGGTTACGCGGTTTGGACGCGGAGGCCTTCGCTCGTGGGGGCCATTTTTGCTGCCACGTCAACTTCTCCGTACCCACCATATGATTTTTTATTGCGAAGGAATTATTATATCTTTTCTGAATATATATATTAAATAAGAACAAAATAAAAACATTAAATTTTAAGGTAAAGTTAACCAGATTTAAAGTTTCCTTCAATTTTGTTGTATTTCCTTATATTTTGTTATTAGTTATTATTAAATCAAATTATATTATTTGAAAGAATTGCAATAAAGTTCTAAAGTCTAAATTACAACTAAACTGCTTACAGTGATAAGCTCTAAAATAAGAAATAACAATTCTTAACTGGTCAATGGAGCTTTTGAGTAGTTATTTTATTCTTTTGGGATCTTCTTGCAATCCTCCCTTACTTCTACTAACTCTTAAATTACGGCCTCAGTCAGTTAATTTAGTGTCCTGTCCCGTCCATTTCTTTTTTCTTGGTTACAAATGACTGAATAATTTATTTTCTTCACTTTGCCCAAAAAAAAAATCTCTCCAAATGACAAAAATGAAAATAGACAGACTATTAACGAGAAAATATATTTACAGGTGCTCCCGTTGAGTTTTGCACCCCCAGTCAAACCTCCGGTCTGAAAATTTTTTGGGAAGACATCAGAACCGAACTTTCTGGTCTGACCAGTGATCACTCTGCCCGCTTCTTTTTACTTGGCTCCAAATCCTTGTCCTCCACTTTTATTCTGTATGCGACTGTGTCATTGAACGGGACTCCAACCTATGAGTCCACAAGGAACAATCGGGTTAGCCGCTAAGTTCATTTACTTGCCACTTTTATTTCAAGAAAGCTGCATATCCACAGCAGCATATATCTTCAAGTGTTGCTTAATCATTGATATCTGAATTAAAATGTTCACATAATTGAACAATGTAATTGCTAAAAGCACAATAAATAATTAGCTCATAGCGGGATTTCACTTAGCACCTAAGATAGACACCCAGCAACCAAAGCTTGACGAAATTTGGATTGCAATGCAGCAACAACTTTTACTTCCTTCTACAGAATTTTCACAACTAGCCTGCATAAATGCAGCTAATGAACACTGCAGTTTCATATACCTAATAATGAAACTAGCATAAGATGATCAGCATATCTGAGATGCCATGATAACCTTTTTAGTAACAACCATTAATCCCCAAAACATATCCATCTTGAGCTCCAATTACAATCAAAACCAAATGTAACAATAACTTTTTTTTACATATTGGTGAGGCAGCAATCATGACTTAACAGAAAGCCTACACATGAAACAAAGATATAGTATAGAATCTAAATAAAAAACAGTCATTCAGTTTTCTATTCACACATTTCTCTTTTACTTGTTTCATTCCTTTGTGTGTTCAGGGACTCACGAAAAAATTGGGTGATCAATATTTCCCCACTTCAAGCGAAGAGAAGAAAAGAAAGTTTAGCAGGGCATCCCAAGATTAATATTAACGTTGTAAACAGAATGCCAATGACAATACTGTAAGGGAAAACCCTATAACATAGCTAAGCAGAACTGCATTATTAAATATTAAAGACACCAACCTCACATTACAACCATCAAAGCTTAAGTTGACATCCTACCAGTAATTTTGCCTTTAGATCGAAAGAGAATTAAAATAGTAACTAGGTGTTAGAAAGCAGCAAAAAATGGAAAAGAAACACACGCCTCAGGCCTTTCACATTAGGTTCATGCCACCTCCCGAAGCCAGCAGGAATTTTAAGCCACTAAACTATCTTTTTGGTTCTCCACAACCTCTTTCTCCATTTCCTTCACTGCCGTAATTAGGGCCCTAGTGATACCCTTGAGATATAAGCCATTCTCTTTCATTTCCTCAAGGAGCTTCTCTGCCATTTGCCAATCCAAAGCCTTCAAGCAAAAAGACTGAATCAACTTTTCATATTCATCAACAGTTGGACGGACACCAAAGTTCTTCATCTCTGCCAATAACTCCAAAGCCTTATCAAACTTCTCTAGTTTGCAATATCCCCGTATTAGGGTATGGTAAGTTACAGGGCTCAACTCTGAATACTTCTTTTTGGCTTCTGTGAAGACTTTCTGAGCTTGTTCGATCTCACCACCATTTACATAGGCACTTATAAGAACAGTATAAGTATATACATCTGGTCTTAAGCCTCTAGTTTGCATTAGTTTCATCATCTCCAATGCCTGTTCCATTTTGCCAATTTTGGAATATCCTGTAATAACATAATTGAAAACGGCATTCCCAGGGGGTGGACCTTCTGCAACCATTCTTAAGACCAGTTGCTTGGCCACATCAACATCTTTGATTCTGCATAGGGCCTGAACAACAGCTGAATATGGCTTTACTGCATATTTCTTATCTTCTCCAATACCGTCCTCTGACATCTCCAAAGCTAATTGTACAGTTTCATTTTCTTGACAAAGTTGACCAATCAAAAAATTAATAGAAGAAGTCGGAATGTGCATCTTTTCTTCTCTTGCTGCAACATATACTGCATGGGCAGCTTTAGCATTTCTCCCCTTGCAAAACCAAGATATAATCTTACCAACTTTCTCACCACCAGTAGGCAAGCTGTTAGCATCAAGCATTTTTTGACACACAGACCAAGCCCAACCAAAAAATGATCGCCTGCAAAGAGCTTCGACAGTAAAGTAATAGGTGTCTGCATTTGGCACACACCCGAGTTCCCCAAAACTATTGAAGACGTCAAACGCAGCTTTCCCTTTGCCCAATTTTGAGAAGGTAGCTATCAATTTATTGAGAATTTCCACATTCAACACCCCATCCTCTTTCACGCTGATATCCTTAATTAAATCCCACAGGGAATATATCTCCTTCTTCCTAAGAGAAGAGCATACAGCCAAAACAAGAGATTCCACAGCAGTGGTGGTGACCTTAAACGATTTGTCTTTCCAAGCCCACCTGAAAAATCTGATGAGATTGTCACCAGCAATTAGCTGTGTTTGGAGTACTTTGATCACGAATTCTTCATGTAGAATTAAATCCATGTCGCTAAGACATGACTCAAGGGACGTATTAGGACTACTCTGAAGAAGAGACAACACATTCTCCAACTTCTCCTGATCGATCTCGTAAACCTCTTCTTTCCCCTCCTCTTCCCCGTGCTGGTCAAAACCAGAAGTAGAAATGTCCATATGCAAACCCACGGTTTCTTCAAGAGATTCCTCGGGAGGCTCATTATCCAAAGGGGCATCATTGCCCATCTGAGCACCATCATGTTCATCAATACCCTCAGAAAAATGAAATGGAACCTCATGCACGAACCCCTCCTTGGCAGAATCAGTGATTTGCTTTTCAAATTGAGAGTGTTCAGCTGAATGCTGGGAAAAGAATCGAAGGTACCGTGCAGATAAATGAGAAGATTGAACTATATCAACTGAGTTAGAGAGAGCCGCCATCACCTTAGGGATTCGGGTTCTGGAAGCATTGAGGTTCTGAAAGGCTTGTCTTGCAAAAGCCGACCTCCACATCTCGAACTTCGCCTGAAACAGAAACTAAAACTGATACAGCCCCCTAGTAGCGACAGTCTAGCCTAGAATCTGGAAGCAGTGGATGGCGCTGAGAACCGACAAGTAGGAAGAGTATTTCGACTGAATGAGATAATTCCGAATCAGTGAGTGGCTTGAAACACTCGGCGACTTGAGAAGAGAAAGCAGAGAGTAGCGGGGCAGAGGGAACTGCAGAGACTCGAAACACGCAAAAGAGGAAGCAGCGACTGAGGGAGAGAGCTCTGCAAGGTCTGTCGCTCAACGGCGCACAGTCGTCAACGATGAATTGGGGTCTGCAGAGCGGCGAGGGACGGAGGGTGAGATCTGGATCGAGGATTTTTTTTTTTGGAACATGGGGCCCAAACCCAACTTGCTTCCAGAGGGTTTTGTTGTGTTGTATGCAAGCCCGAAAGACATTTAATTGAAATGCAATAGAGTTCAAATCAAAACAAATTTCAAACATTAAAATAAAAGTGATATATTGTCTCGAACATTATGATTTAATAAATCATATTTTAAAATTTAGTCTTGAAATGTCATATCTTGGTTAATTTCAGAATCTATGATAATAAAAGCTTGCTATTCCACTTCAGTATTCAATCATTGATTTAGAAGCTCCGTAGATTTATTGAGGTATGTTGCCGAGCATGCAAAACTTGGTAAAGTTTATTCTTTCACGCATCCTTTTTATTTTGTTACTTGATAATTTGATGTGGATCATTTTATATCATTTTGAAAATATATTAAGAAATTTTCAAATTTTATGTTACATAATTTTTTTTTCTATTTTGGCTTTCAGTATTCGTCTTTGTCCATAGAAAAGTAAATTTATTAAACCATTTCCCGCTATCCTATAATATTAATAGGTGAAGGATAAGTTCCTATTAAATTTGGGAAGGGATACCTTTGGGTAAGAACTATTTAAAAAACAAAAAAAAAAGGTGAATTCAGAGTCACATTTCCACAAACATCTCCTTTTTTTAAGCAACACAGCACAAATCAAGACTGACATTACAATTATTTTTATCTTCGATCCAACCTTGCAAAGCTATGACAGTTTGCACATCCGTACTTTTTTTTAATGGAAATTCTGCTGCAAGTTCTTGGTACCAATAATCTATCATTGCTTGTGGGAAAAATGATCGCTCATCATTAGGATTGACTTGCTTAACCCGCTCTAGTTAGCATTTACCCGTTAAAATGGAAAAATGATACAAGGCTTTACTTTTTGTCTCATAAATATTAACCTTTTTAGACCCTTGATAGCATAAAAAGTCATTTTCCATGACTCGCTCTAGAAATTGGAAATTTAGTTAAATTATTTTAATCGGGTTGTACTTTTTGTAACATTTACTCCTGCAAAAGTCATCGCACCCATATTTTCCAATCCTGAAAGTGATGAGTTAGATAGAATACCCTATTGTAACATATCATATATATCTATTAATTAAGTTTATACGGTCCACAATTATCAGCCACAGCCAAATTTCATGCGGCCGGTCTCCAATTAGGTCTCACACTTCAAAGAAGAGCATAAATTATGTGGATAAAATTTCAAGTGTACACGCCCATATAGACACAAAATTACACCTAGTGTGATTCTAATTGATGGTATAATGGAAAGGAACACAAAAGGTTATCAATGATCAGAAAGCGAGTCTTCTCTTACAGGCCTCGAAGGGAAGAGCATTAAAGCAACAAAATCCCAAATCTCGAACAATTTCATCAATCAAATCCCTGCAAATATGATCATGCAAAGCCAAACCTATTCTCCCAATCTCTCGCTTCTCTCCCCATACGATGTCCCTACACACTTCCTCTACGCTCTCTTTCATTGCTCTCCTGCTCCACATCACCGACTCCTCTTCTTCCTCATCATCCTTCACCTTCTTATGTACCAACTCACTTGTCGCAATTCTCTCATAGAAACACGTGTTTTCCTCTCCTGGCTTCTTTTGCACCTGTATCTTCTGCTGTTGCACTCGCCCTGTGCACATCACACTTCATCTTTATCCAATGATATATAAAATTTTCAGTAATTATCTTATTAACAGGCCAATCATCAAATGCATGCCTACTTAAACCAATCACATGGTATCTTTCCCTTGACAAGAACATGTAAAATAAAAAATTCTTTTATTTTCTTTGACGTGTGTGTGTGTGTGTTTTGAAGTTGAAGTGGACAGATTATAGTAATGTACAGCGTGCTAGAGGACATTAGTTGGACATAATGACAGCTATTTTCCCAACAAGACTAAGCACAGACAAGGTGTTGTTGAAGCCAGAAGATCCATGGGTGGATTTGCAGGGAAGGCAAGAGAAGCAGGTATAAAGCTAAGTGGTGGGGGGTCGAAATGAGCAAGGCACTGTAAAAAGTGAAGAAGGTTGCCAGGTAAAGCGGCCAGAGGGGTGCGTGAGAGTGTCACTGTGTGGCCTCTCTTCTTTTTCTTTTTGAACATCTTTTGACTGTCTCCTCCTAATAATATATTAGCCCCCTGTGCGTACAGACGGTGGTCCATCATCCCACCCACTAAAGTCGACAAGTTTTCTTTTTTATGAAAAACGTTCATTTGGGCTTCTCTTTTGGTTTCTAGCAAGCAACATATATATATATATATATATATATATAAAAGGGGTTAATCCTATATGTATTTTGTCTTCTTCCTAGTAATTTTGGGTTCACTGTTAAATTATTATTTTTTTCTATGTAAAGTGATGGCCAACTATAGATCAATCACTCGATAAAAGTAAAGGATTACTAACGTTACTAGTGATATTCTGAGACTGTTTTCATTATAGCAGCTTGCTAGCTGTGAGTCACTTATATTGGCCGCAATATAATTGCAGCGGCAAAAAGGAATTAATTTGTCCCCAGTCATGATGGTGAAGATGGTGTGGAACACAAGAAGTTATGATTGTAAATTTGGAATCCTAAACATCATGGATAAGGAAGCATGTGCTTTTTCACGAAGGACCATTGTGTTCCCTCTCCATGAGTAAGTTAATTATCTGCATAAACCCTTCCAAAGGGTCAGCATAAATTGCAACTTTGTATCTTTGCAGCTTGGAGATTAGTAAATATTCTTTTAGGATGATGACAATTACATTCTTCGAACCAACCCCAAAAAAAAACGTCTGACTTTTCCATCAGTACATGACAACCAGACAGATTTTAAATAAATAGGTATTATCATAAAACATGTTGGAACTATATAAAAATTTAGAAGGATGTTTGTTCTTCAAACCGGATACGGCTGAAATGAAAAGATTCAAAAACAACAAGAATTAATAATATCACGAAGTATCAAAACATTGACCTGTCTGTGTCAATCCAAATTCAAAGTGAGAAAATAATGATGATTTATATTTTCAAGCCTTGCAGCTGGATAATTTTTAGTCCTTATCCTTCTTTCTAGTCAAATCCTAACCACTAAGGGGAAATGGACAATCAGCAAGTTGATAACTCAGTTTCAACGGATCGGTTAACAAAAGAGGAAAAAAAGAGGCAATATGATAGACAATTTGTTGGGAAAAAAACCTGGAATCTTTGACTACTAAAGAAAATTTTATGCATTTATTTAAAAAAAAAACAGAGAGAGAGAGAGAGAGAGAGATGTGTATATAGCCATGAAGAATTGAAAAAGATCACTCAACAAAGAGTTTATATTAGATCAATGATCAGAGAGAATCGTCGCAAGCATTTTATGAATTCTCAGAACTCCTAAAATCTAGCAAGTTTGAAGGCTTGAAGGAAAAGCTTTAATGAACAATTTCATCTGATTCGCCGCATTCTCAAAACCAAATTAATTCTGGTTACAACATATTAGTCTAGCTTCATTGGCGCATAAAAACTTCTGCACTGTCTTCTGATTTTGCAATTTGTAGAATTTATCTTCAATTATAATGCAAATGAACCAGGATGCGGAAGGAGACGAAAGTTAATGAAATTAGATTAATAAAAAAGCGAACGTACCACTTGAATGTGACTGTTGTTGCGAGTAATTCCTGAAACTCACAGGGGACCGAGTCAACTCGTCGAGCACAGACACTGGACTTGGTTGCTGCTCCGAACAAGTAACCTCCGTTACTGTTCTAATTTTATCCCCAAAGCAACTCACGTTTTTTGATATCACCTCCGTCGAGGGTGTCCGTTGCTGATCTGCTGATCGTACGGCCTCAATGATCTTCTTTAGTGCCTTCAGATCCTCGTCGCATTTCTGCAGTGCATTCAAAAGCCTTTCTCTTTTCTCCGCCACGGATTCTGGCTTCTCGGCCGCCGTCGGGCCCTCGTCCAATCCCATCAGCCTCGCCACCAGTGCCGGCGGAGTTCGGAAGTTCTCAGGTGTTTTCGCCGGATTTGAACGGCGAATATCCGCCGGAAGGGTGGGGCTCCTTGGTGCTTCACGTGACAAACTAGGATTGTAACAAACATTGGGTTTATCCTCTTTGAAGTTTTCTCCTTCTTTCACGGGAGTTTGTTTTGGAAGCTCTGCTTTTGCGGGAAAAGAACTGTCATTCTTAATCTGCTTCTTTCCTGCAAATGCAGAAGGAGAATTGCATGCTATAATGTTAATAAATCCAAAGTCCAAAATTCAAGCTAGTATATGTTTCCTCAGTAACCAAGCAGAATTTTAACAGCATGACTGATAAATCTATTACCGAAGGTGAGGAATCTGCGGGAGTGAGACTTGCAGACAAGGTGAATGATGCCGGACATGCAGCCAATCGTTTTGGATTGAATCTTCTCCGGCGCATTTTCTCGGCGTGACGACGATGAGACCATGCTATGCTGTCTCTTCATTGCTCTCTCCGGTAGTGCGCTTCTGTGTACGCTGATGACGAAGGCAGCGAGAAAAGCTGGAGAAAAACGCCTAGTTATTCTGTTTTCATTTTCATTTTTTTAAGGTTAAATGGCCCTTCCCCGAATTTGGCTTTTGTTTTGTTTAAATTATAGAAAATTTTTATTATTTAATCTGAAATTTTGTATGAATCTCACTCATGATTTTTTTTTTTTTGGTTTAGTTAAGGAAGTGCATTATTTTATGAATTGTAGATAAGGCTAATTATTCAAAATTTTACATTTGATACTGACCGTCATTTTATCTTCTTGGTTTCATAGACTGAATCATATTTTTAAAATTTTTTGTACTTATGTATATATTTTTTTTATTAACGGAAATTTTAATTTTCGTTTCTTAGTAAAGAACTTGTCAATTTTCCATGTAAATAAGGTGGAAGGTATTTTCATGAAAATAGTTTGCAAATAAATTTGAATTTATCTGTAGTGTATGTATTATATGTTGTTTAAAAGTTCAATTTTGAAAATAAAAAGGGTGTGCACTTTTAGTAAAATTCAAATTCCGAAAAAATATTTAGAACAAATTTATATTTATGTAATTTGACTACTCTTTCCGTGATTAATGTAACATTAAATTAATTAATTATAGTAGATTAAAGATATTAGTTAAATTAGTTAACATAATATATTTTTTCTAAAATATCTCAAGTAATTTTTTTAATTCCCTTCCCCCTGCTTGATTATTATTGGAGAAATATTAATATGATTAATTTGAAAAAAATTGATAAATTTGTGAAGTAAAACTCACATGTAAGATCAACATCAATTTTCTAATTAAATCTCACATTTAAGAACTAGAGGAACGTAATATAATTTACTCATAAATAACAATAATATTAACTACTACAGTGGAGTAAAGGTAACGGTTAGAGGTGGATGGACAGGAAAAAGTGGGGGGGGGGGGGAGAGAGAGAGAGAGAGAAGAAGAGGGAGAAGAATGTTAATCAATTATAGAAAAGCAAATTGCACGTGGAATGATGTGTATTATTCGTAAGTTTAGTATGTATGCGATAATATAAGTAAATCTCTTTTACTTGGACTCCGTAAAAGACACAGGGAAATAAACCCTGGGAATCCTTTTTAGCCATCTGTGATTAGTAATTGGGTTAAATCTAATAGTTAGGGGCAAGCACTAATTTAACAGTAAGAGGGAGTAATTAAGTTGGGATCAATACGGAACGAGTTGTGAATGTGCCGTACACAACACTAAAGGTGGAAACAGGTCAGGCTTTGCTCTTAACAGGCCAGGCCTGTTTTGGAGTCTATTGGCCTGAGCCTGGCTTGTGGCCTGTTACAGGCTTACTTTTCAGTCTGAGCCTGGCCTGAAGCCTGTTAAAAGGCCTGTATTTTAAAAAATTCAAATTATAATAATTAATTTTTAAAAAAAGCTAAGATAAAAAAAACGTATATAATAATTTAATTTTTAGTCTTGTCTTTTATTTAAATTTTAGTATCATAAGTACTATTTTAAATCTTAATTATAATTTATAAGAATATTATTGAAAACTAATTGTAATTATATGTTAAAATTTGGAATAAGACTACGTTTAAGTACACACAAAAAATTAAAATTAAGACAAATAAATAAAGAGGAAAACAATACTAATTTTATAATGAATAAAGAGGGTATCATACTTAAATTAACATAATACGTAAGTAAGTTAATTTATCATTCTTGGAACAAAATTTTTCTTTCCTATTTTCTTTATATTTTTAAGATTTAAAAATCACATTATTTATTGATATTATTATTTTAAATTATATTTTATCTTCACTTGTCATCTAAACTTCAAAATCTAAGAAAAGATTAAGCTATTAATTATATATTAAAATTAAAAAATAAATTAAAAGAGCACATTAACAATAATAGCATTAATTAATTTTTTCATATATTATGATTATAATTTCCTGACAGGCCCAGGCAGGTTTAACAGGCTTAACAGGCTTTTTAAAAAGCCTAAACCTAGTCTGTTTAACTAAAGAGGCCTTCAAACAGGCCAGAGCCTTTTTTTTTGGAAAACAGGCCAGGCCATAGGCCCTGACAGGCCGCCTAGCCTGTTTCCACCAGGAAAAGTTCAAAAAAAGAAAAAAAGAGAGGAACATGCCGTGCAATGCATGATGCTCATTATGATGCATTCTTTATTATACTCTTTTTTTTTTTCCCCACTGTAGTTTTGTTTTACTTCAAATAGTGGTAAATTCCAATTTATTGATTAATCTACTGTTTTGCTTAATTAAGGACATGGGTGCGATCAAGAGCTAATCCGTGCGTGATTATGTACAGATAATTGGATCCTAAGATTGACGAGTAGATTAAAGTGGGGTTTTGTCCTTTTCAGTGCACCCATTAATAATTAATAATATTAATAATATATCAATCTATATTATAGTGTGTGATCTCCCTATCTTGTTCCATGATCTCCGTTAAAGCGTTACTTAGATTTCAAGGCATCGACCCCTGATACGAAGTTCAAAAAAGGAAAAGCTAATAAGGTCGCTGGGGATCCTTCTGTTTGGGGGAAAAAAGAAACATTGATTCCGGCCTTTATCTATTATTTTCTGTCAATGCGCTGGGGTCCTTACATGATTATAATTAATAATGATAAATAAATATTCCTGCTGGCACAAAAAAATAATATATAAATACTTCAATTTTGTCTTTGTGTGAGAAAGATATCATAAATTTTAATCTCATTGGCCCAAATATACTCACGACGTGAGTCGTGGATTATTTGATTATCCACCCTACACAAATACAAATGCATTTTCTTTGTAATAAGCAAAATGCTCCTTGTTTGGGCCTTAATAAGGCTTAATGATACTAAGTATCTCTATTAAAATTTTTTTAAGCAGGATGTTGTGAATTTGAATTTTCTATAAAGAGTAGGATACATGTATGCGTTGTGATTAAAAAATACTACCTCCGGTCCTAATTATAAGACCCAGTTGACTAATTTGAGGAGATTAAGGAAGTAAGTTAAGTTAGTTATTTGTAACAAATAAGTGTTGTCATTCCTAAAATATCCTTGCTAATTAAGTGTGTTGGCTAGAACTATCATTATTAGAAGGACTATCTTGGAAAAAAATGCATAAATATGAGAGACAAAATGGATTGGGGTCTTATAATTAGGACCAAACTAAAAGTCAAACAGGGTCTTATATTAAGGACCGGAGGTAGTATATACAGAAAAGGGTCCAAGCCAAATGTATTCTCTTGTGACATGAAGAATTGCTTCTTATGCTGATCTAATTAAATTGCTAGTCCATACTTTACGATACACGAGTGTATTCGTAAGCACACATTCTATGTTATACTATCTCTCGTATTTAATATAAGAACTATTTTAATTTTTAATTTGATTTTAAATATAAGAACCCAATTTATTTTGTCTCTCATATTTTTCTGTTTTTTTCAAAATAGTTTTTCTTGTAGTTACACAGGTTAAAAATTCAATCAAATAGTAGTTTTAGCTAATACATGATTTGCAACGGTATTTTAAGAAAGACAACACCTAATTATTACAAATAATAACAAACTTTCTTAACCTACTTAAATTTGTCAACTAATTTTTATATTAAGGACAAGAGATAGCATATGGATTAATATGTGTGTATATAAAAATTTAAAAATAAACCTGGTTGATGTTATTTAAAATTAAAAGACTAAAGGAGGCACAGCAAAGAATTGTTTTTACCATGATGGGTCGTGAGGAAAGCAAAAATACTTTTATGAGTTGGATCTGGTCCTGGAATAACATTAGAATCAACGAATGTCATTTTTACGTTTATTTCATAACATCCAACCCATTGCACAGAATATAATACACAGCCATGGTTAACTTTTGCATCGAGAACAACGTGGACGTGTTTCATGCGTCATAAAGTCACAACGCAGAAGCCTGAGGCTGTTGGCTCAGGAAACTAGCATCAGCATTCTCGTCGCTGCAATAGAGACAAGGATGTTGCACGAAGCCTCTGGACCGAAGGATCTTCCTCGCCCTTACAACAACCTCCCTATTACTCAACGGAGCTGGATCATCCTTGAGCACCATCTGAACGGCGTTGCTGAATGCTCCGTAGGCCTTTCCGCCGGTGACGGCGGGGTCCATGTCGGCAGAGGTTTCGTCTGCCTGGCACCCACTGAGCAGAATCCCCTCGTCGGGCTTCAAAGGCGGGAACAAATCACGCTCCAGAAATGGCGCCCTGAACCTCAAACTGGCTTCGGATCCGAAGAACTCCAACAAGTGGGTTCCCACGTCGGAGCTGCTTATGTTTGTTAAGGACGCGAGTTGTTGTAATACGTCGGAGAAGGGGATGGTCTTAGGTTTGGAGTTAAGGTTCATTGTGGTCTCGTTTTGGACAGCTGAAGATGGCCCTATTTGTTCCTTCTCTTTGTCAATCAGCCCTCCACTATGGCACGAGTCCGACAGAATCGTCAGACTCGCTCCTTTGGGCACCCGGTTCACGAATTGCCTCAAGTCCAAATCTGCACATTAAGAATTGTGTCAACTTCAATTCTATTCTATTTCCACATTAATAAGGTGGCTAAAAGTGAAGAAAACGAACCAGTGATGAGATTGAAATCACAGGGGATGATGGCTTCTTCGTGGCGAAAGGGGAAGGCAGGTTTCATGGAGGGGATTCTGGTTCCGTGTCCACTATAGTGAAAGTAGAGGACATCCCCTGGTTGAGCTTGATCAACCATGCGAGAAAGAGCCTGCTTGATGTTAGCTCCAGTGGGCATGGTTGAACCTGAAGGAGCATCAACGTCATCAGTGAGTAACTCAATATTGGAGGGATCGAACCCAAATCTCTTGATCAGAGTGTCTCGCATGGCTAACACATCGTTTATGCAGCCACGCAGTTCATTTGTAGTGTTGGGGTAGTTGCACCCGACCAATACAGCCAACCTCTTCCTTCTAATTCCTTCCATTCTTTAATGTTGTCTTGTTTTGCAGATCGGATTTGGATAATATGCAGGTGAATGATGGTGGACTCTTCATTGGCCACAGCTTTTATATGTGGAGGCGGCCTTGTTTTGCTTTGGATTTCATACAAGTAACCCTTGTGTGCATTTTTTATTGGCTTTCAAGTGAGGGAAGTTATATGATTGAACATTTAAGCATTTTCGTTGTCATTAGAAATCCATGAAGGTTTCAGCGACCAATAGTTAAAGAGTAGGGTTTTATGTCACAGCTTACGCATCTGGCTCGACATTTTTAATTTGCATTTATGATAGTCGATTTTGGTGTGTTCGTCTTTATTGATTGCAGAACTTGCAAGTCAAAAGCAGAATGAAAGCCTTCAGAATCCCGTACAAGCATGTTCTTAATTGTTGCTTTCTATGGGAGTTTGAAATTGTGACTCTTATCCATTCGTCAACAGCTTCAAACGTTGTACGGGTCTCTTGCCCATCAATCGTATTATAATATATTTTGTTTTCTCCTGTCAAATAATAAGTGGATGATTTAGAACATTGAAGCTTAGACACAAACTTATATCAACGATCTTTTCTTTAAAAGATGGTATTGACATATATAATTTTCCAATGACGTGCAAGCAAATACAATTCTCATACAGTATTGTGCATTGATGATCCCACGTGTCATCCAACCATCCATTATTCGTGTTCCATTTAGTAAATTTAAAAATAAGAATGAATTAGCAAATAGAGAAGATACGTGACGAATTAGGATGTGTGCATTTCAAATGTATCGAGCACGTCAAAATGTTTCAAAAGGGGCAAATATAGAATGTGTTCTGTTTTCACTGATCACCACGCTTGGCACGACGCTTGGTGATCAATGAATGTGCTGACTTGAAAATCTCCATTTAAAAATCAATCAAAAGGGTGATTAAGGCAGGCGGGCTCCAAATTCATTAAAAAATCAACTGGGGCAAAGAACAACAATGGCTATGAATTCAGAATTAAATCTAGAGAACCTATTCCCGTGCAAAATCATAGAAAGGAACCAACATGATGTCTACAATTTACATGGTCGCGGATAACGGCCACATGAATAACAAGTTATGTAGCTGGGGGTCATCACCCGTAGAATGAAAATCTTCTAACCACGTCTTTGGCAACTTGTGGCAGAGAGAAGAAAATTTCCTGCGATGTGCTAGGCAGAACAGAAACACGTCTATCACTTTAATTTCTTGTTTTCTTCCTTTTCATTTATTCTTTCTCATTAACGAAGAACTACAGTGTATCCAAAAAAAACAAAAAAACGGAAGAACTACATATATCAAGTGAGTATGCAATGAAACAAATATGTACATAGATGCTTAAAAATTGTCATACCCTGGCTCAGATGTATTTCAGATTCCTTCAGCAGCGAAGGGATGGGAAAATCTGTACAGCAGCATTTTTAAAGATCTTGCCAAACGTTGTAGTCATTATTTGTGCCATTGTAGTTGATTACACTGTCTTGGCATCCTAAAAAGAATGTACTCTTAATCGGATCCATGTTCACTAATGCATGGGCTGTCCTACGGGGGCTGGCAGCAACAGCAACCTCATCGGCGCCAATAATCACTTCGGCAAAGCCCTTGTCAGCTACCTTGTTGTTCTCCAACTACAAATAATTCTCAAGTCTTATAGATTAAATTGATATACAAATCGAGGGTCACAACAGAAGAGAAACGTGAAATCAGTTTTTCTCAATTCTGATCAATTAATAGTGCCAAGTTGATGCATATGAACTAATCATTTCAGTGTGAGCTGATCAGGTTAGTTCAAAGTACTGACGGCCGGGCGCAGGGAAAGGAGCACAAATAAGCATTTCCTTTAACATCTCCAAATCTTAGAATGCAAATTCTCTGCACCTCAGAACGAGACTATTTGCTGCGCACCTCATAGTGATCCCATCTATTTTGCCTGTGACAGTGCTGACACCACATGCCTGAGAAGCTGAATTGCACTGTTTCAGCAGGAGTAAAGTGATGCATTATGCCTCAACTATTCTCAGATTTAAATGGGCCAATTGCAACTATCAATTCATGTGATTATCCGGATTGTTTAATTTAAATCCATTAAAACACTCAAGCCTTGATTTCAATTATGTCTCGGTGCAATTCCCTTTGAGGAATGGTGAATGCCCCTTCCTGTGTACAATCGAATGGCTTGAATCAGCAAAGGGTTGAACCTCAGACATGAATATTCAACCAACGGACAACTGAAAATTTTGTGCCTTAGTGGAACAGAGCTGCATTTTTGGGTCTCAGACTCGGACACAACTGAGCATTTGCTGGAGGGAAACAAAATGTAGAAGGTTTGTGCATTTTAGGATTTAGAATGAACGGCTGGGATCATTTCTATCAAAGAATAAAGGTGAAAACACATTTTATTCATGATGGTGTTGAATTTCAGTCTCTCAAACGTGTGACGTAAATGTTGTCGTAGGATCAGGCAAACGACAAGGATCTTCTGAGGTGGCAAGCAGTTCCATTCCAGGGTGCAGAGAATCTGCATTCACAAACCTTGTTTTTCACATTAGGGGCTTGTGCATTCAGCCAAAAAGAGAATGAACAAAATGTGGTGCAAACAAGTCGGCATTTATTCTTTTCGTTTCACCACTTGATTTTACATAAAACCAGAAAGAAATTTGAGATTTTCAACCAATTTATGATTTTCAGAATCAGGACGAGTCGTTTAAACAAAGAAAAAAACATGAATATGTTTAGCAACTAAATAGAAAGTTGAGTAGACCTGATACTAACACTTAGATAGGGAAAGAACAGTAATTTGAAAAGCGGAGCATGTTTATTATCTGTACTACTGTATCATACTATCATACATATCACTTTGCAGGCATTTTGGACTGAAAGCTATTTCTCAATAAAATCTTACATGCAGGGAAACACATAACCAAACCAATTATATGCCACCAACTGGCAACTACGACACGGGAGCTTACCCTAAATTTTGTTGCAGCACCCCAAATGACAAATGTCTCGTTGCAATTGTGATGTCTGTGATTTCCTCTTATTTTGCCAGGACGTATTTCTCCAACATGAACTGAAGCGCAAGAGACAGCTCCACCTGCAAAGAAGAATTTTTCTTTTTCAAATGCCAGAAAAGAACACAAACACATATTTTCTTTTTGCATATGAAACCCCGCGCACTATGTGCCTTTTCTTTTTCCCGCCTAATCAGTTAAGAGCGAAGCAAATATACAGGTCGTTGAAATTAAATTTCGTTCTATCTGGAGTACGTAACTTCAGTGCATATCAGCTTTTGGAACAAAAGGGAGCCAATCTCCAAATGAAGCTAGAGTGCACAGTGAAGAAGTGGGGTGATCATTGCAACACAAACGTCCATATCGAAAAACTAAGAACCGAAAAAAAGACAACACACGGAAGAAAGCAGTGCGTAATATACCAGAAATGCCAGAAGCAAGGGCGAGAGAAACGGGATCGAGCAACCAGCCCCGCTTGTCTTTAGCAATTTGGGAAGGAATCCCAGAGCTGAACCTAACCAAATTGGCCTTCATATCATCATCGACGCTCCAATCTGCGGCGGTTCCGGCGGGTGGAGTTGAGAATTGGGAAACGCGCTGAAAGCGGATAGAGATCCAAGTGAGGAAGAGAAAAATGCTGAGAAGGAATGGAAGAGAGTGAGGCTTCTGAAGGAACTGAAGGAGAGATGCGAGAAAAGAGGGTCGGATCTGGAAGGGGTTATCGGAAGATTGACTGTTTAAATAAACGATTCTTCGAGGGTTCGCCATCATCGGGCTGCCCCTCTCTGTTTGAGCTCTCATCTTTCTTACTCCTGTTCAATGTCTGATATTTCTGCGTCCTTGGATTGTATCGCCGTGTTTCTGCTTTTGGAGAGCACTTATCTTCTCGTTCTATTTTGTTTGCCAGATGCCTCACTGAGGATCTGTCCATGTAAACTAACCAAGCTCTTTTATTTATATTTAAAAAAAAAAAAACAGTGTCTGATATTAACCGATGGTTTCATACGTTATATGAGACCTTGAGAATCGTTCTAATAACAACCTGATGTCCGTGCATGTCAGAATAAGATCATGAAATCAAATTAAAATGAGATTTCTTGGAGAAAACACATTGCATTTACTCTTCTAGTACTATTTATATTTATAAGGCAGCGAGAAATTTTTTTTAGATGGATATATTATTTTATACTTCATTTATAAATGTATTAATTTAATTTATATAAAGTATAATATATATTAAATAGAGATAAAGTTAAAAAATTATTAAATCTTAAATGACAGTTAATAAAATTTAAAATTTTTCTTAATAACTGAAAGTGACTTATAAACTGACAAGTAATTTGTAATCATTATTAATTATTAACTAGTAAGTGATCTAATGCCAAGTTCAAAATAACTTCCTAGTTGTCTTCTTGCAAAAGCGATTGCCATAATGTCCTTTTCCATGATCCCATCTGACCTTTTATAGCTTTTAAATAACGACCGTGCCAGTCTGATTGAAAATCATTGAGACTTGTGAGCAGCAAAGCATTCGTTGTCAATGCAATGCACGATTTGTTTCTAGGAATATATAACGGCTTGTTTGGGATAGTAACAGGATGTAATATAGCTGCTCATCAACATCAATCACACGTCTGGCTCTTCTTTATAATTCCCAGTTTCTTTCTTTTAAGCTTATTTCCTTCGATGTATTTTTTTTCCCCTTTTAGGGCATAACTCAAAGTTTCATCTGCTTTGGTATTTTGTTCATCTGGTTTTTTCTTTCGGAAAAAAAAAGAGAGAGATGGCACTAGGAAAGCTCTAAAGGAGATGAGGTGGCCCAACAAACATCAATCCATCAAGAAGCAGGGGCAGGGGCATGATCCATGAAGAATATTGGGCTTGGATTGCCAACGGCTCAAGTGGTATTTTCTGCAGGAGCTAAACAAGGGACCATTAGAGCTAGGATGTCAGAAAGGGCAGGATATTGACA